GTTACTATACTAATCCGGTTTATGTCATATTCATATTGAATATTTTTTTCAAATTAATAAAAATAAAGTTGTTACGTTAGATTTCTATTTTTTTTTTTGTTAAATAAATTAGAAAAATATTCGTTGAAGCGTTGAAAGAATATTACATCAGTCTATTGATGCACGTGTAATTAAATATACGCATGAATATTTCTATAATAATACAATGTCAATATTCACTTTAGACAAAAATAAAAATTATTTTTCTATTATATATAGATTGTTTTAATTTACATGTGTCAATTGTAAATCATTAGAAATAAAAATTTAATAAAATTATTTCATGATTAATAATAGTTCATTTATTTTGAAATTTTATAATAGAAAAATAAACATGATTTTGACATGTTTATAGCATGTCAATTGTGCATATATAAATAATGAGGTGTTAGAATCAAACAAGAATTCTATAGGATTATTTAGTAGACTTTTTGTCGATAAGACTGTTCAGACGAAGAGAGTTTTATTGGACTTATGTTGATTTTAATTTGTTGAGTAAAAAAAACAAGACTAAAAAATGAATTAATTATGAACACGAGCAGATTATATTCTAGGAAAATATACTTTTAATAATGAAAAAAAAGTACTCTGACAGTATGAAAAAGAACTATTGTTTAAAGATTTCTTGAATTTACAAGATCAGGTAGATATATACTGAAATTATGAGAAATAATTATTGACTTTACTTATGATTATCACATCGTGATCTTTTTACATCAATGTAAAGCATTTTTAAGAATAATTTATTAATCTATTATATGTTAGCAGAAATTGATCTAATTCTTTTTATATACTTCAATAAAAGTAAATATTAATTGCAATCATAATGGTTTTCTATTAGATATTAGTGACAATCGAAAGGAACGGATTCATAATCGTTGCAATTTATTTGTTTGTAAAATTTATATATATTTGTTTTTGAATGCAAATAAATATAAAGTAATAGATGATAATAATGACTATATAAATTAATAAAAAGATCAGGAATTATTCAGTAAAGAGAATAATACACATGCAAAATGTTCATTTTTATCGTATATCATCTGTAATCTACGTTAAACTAACATTTTACATATGAGATGGATGGAAATATCTACTGTTAAATATTTTATATCTAATTGGAGTATAACTGACAAATATAAGAAGAAAAATAACTCAGTATAAACTTTGATGTAAATGAGATTGAAATGTTAGATATCTACTTTTTAATCTTAAAATCTAACGGTATCATAGAGTCATATATGGAACGACATTAGTAATAAAGATAAGTATTACTGGATCCATTTTTCCGTGTCTAAAATAGTACGATTAATTATCTTACTGATATTCGTATTCTGTCGTTTGTCTT